ATTCAGTGCTTCCAGTTTTCCATGATGGTCTAGCTTCAATTGACTCATGATTTCAACTATGAAATCATTTACAAGTCTATCATCAACAATATTTGTTCTGATATGTTTGATAAATATTTAAGTGATCTGCTTCTTATTTCAAGACATGTAACTAATTCTTGCATTATAATTCAGTGACGTATAGAATAAAAAAATTCTTTTCAAAATCTATTCAATATTCATTCAAAATCAGGGGATTTCGTTTATTATTATTGCTCTTGGTAATAATATCTGTCTTATACATTTTCGTCTCATCGACATGATATCACATGGTATCTTATATTTATCTTTTCTATTGATTTAAACTGTGTCTTCCATGGTCAAAAGGAGCAAGATAATTTTTGTAGAGATAAGCTGATATTATCATTCAGTAAACTTGCGTCATTTTATTAGTCGAATTATTTATTTATTTGAGTTTTTGTGGTTCAGTTGCAAAAATTGCTAAGGAGTTTCAATACTTGGTATGTTGTTAATCCATCGGAAATACAATACAGTTTATTTCGTTACGTTTAGAGTTTTATAGGTTTATGTTTAGCATGAAGGTAAATTGTTAATGTTGTCAAGGTAATACAATGTAGAGAGAAGATGTTATGAGAATTTGAAACCGATAATAAGAAGCAGAAACATAAACCAACAACTCAGTGGTCATATAGGAGGGAGTTTAATGTTTACCACGGAAATGTACACGACAACAATTAACAATACTAAGGCCTGTATTCAATACTACTTAGTAGACAAAACTAAGTATTTAAATAGTAAGATTTTGAATTTATAACAATTTAGACATTAGTTGGTTCACTTTCATTTGAATAACTCAGAATAACTTCGCAATCACTAAAGAAATTTCACTGGTTTTCTATCATCGTTAAATGTATCGTAGCTTGGAATTAAAATCATTCTCCATTCAATATCGTAATCATGAAAGATTTATGCGAATTACAAGGTATTTTTTCAAAAGGGTAACATTTCATCGCAAAATAGCTGGTAATAAATAAGAAGTTTCAATATTTAAGAGTTATTTCTGCACTGTAAACTGGTTTTCATCAGTTTCTCTTCAAAAATAGCCATGCAACACAAGAAGGGATGACTTGTTCTAGTTTCCAGATACCTTTATAATAACTACCCACAATCACTAGATCTACTGAATTTGATAATTTTAGAATAATCGATCGGAATTCGATGACCAATATGACTAACATCAGTTAGTCCTCTAAGATAATTATTCCGATAATTTTTGTCGATAAGAGTTGTAAACTTCCAGTAATTACTGTAGTTTGTATTATAAATCATTCGTTTATTAACTAAGGATAACTTAATAATAACATAAACTGAAATAATCGAAGAAATAACTCCAATTAAAAGTGGTAATTAAGTTGATACAAAAATAATTTGAAACGACAAAACTGAAGAGTGTACATTTTCCGGAAACATATAGTTGATAGATTTCTCTAAACTGAATATCTATGACAAAGTTGTCAAGATCATGAAAGATCAAATGTATGCACTTAACAATTTCACCAATTTTCACCGTTTGCATTTCGCTTATTTACCACCTACTCGTAGTATTCAAACTGTCATTTTTTCTCACAGTACATCGAGTGCGACTTTAACTGAACATTCACTAAGTTTTGACTGAACTTTGAAATGTATTTATTTGTTTTATGGTGCTGTTTTTACTTTTTCCCCCTTAATCATACTGTCAAGTTCTTTTGATCCATAGTTATATACGTGACATAATTGTTGTTTCTGACTAGAAAATTATCTTGATTGCTTTAATGTTCTCCCATGTTTGTTTAGAGACAAAACAATATATTTATATAAAACCCGAAGGAATATCTGATTGAAGGTGATACTGTTTGTCTTTACAACTCATTTTATAGCTGCCTGGAGTAATGATAAGTTTCAGTACGTTTATTTACCACAATCATATTTATTTTATTGTCGTCATCATTCTAATGATAGTTTGAATGAAGACCATAACAACAATCGTGGCAGAATAACATCAATTCATTAATTTCATAGATTCTTTTTACCTACTTATAGCCTGTAAATAGTAGTATGATAGTTTTAAACTCAATATATGCAAATACTTGATATAATGATGAGAAGTAAACAAAAAATTATCTTTGAATAGTGATATTCAAATGACTGAATGTTCACGTTGTTGGCTAATTTGAAAACTATGTTAAAAGCACTTTCAGAACACAAGTAATACGTCTCTAGAAAGTCAAGATTTATGTCAAGATCCACATCAAAATAGTTGAACTAATTGAATTCAAATGAATCTGCAAAAAACAGTTGTTGTTGCTGTTTGCCAAAAAATGGAAAGATTGAATGTGATTTTCAGTGATAATAGTCAGTTACCAGATTTTCAGTAAAATAACTTTTATCAAAGTTTTAAAATCCAGATTTGCTTAGTCTATAACAAGAAGACCGTTATTAACCTAAAAATTTCATACTGATGGATTTAACTAATTAATGAACCGATTTGTTAGTTAAATTAATTAAAATTCAGGGGAAGATTCGATTGATTATTTTCATTATTATATTGATCAACTTATCTGTAGTCATTCGGGTAAAAATTTAAAGTTGTGAGATCCTATCTTTTACGGACAATCGTTAACAGTAAACTTTTATTTAATTGCTTGATGGGTTTAAGATGATTATCGATCAGATTATATAATCCATAAATATATTTGGTATTAATGATAATAGTGATCCTTTTATTCAGTTATTTATTGTTTAGATATAGTAGAGTAATCTCTACATAAAATACTTGAATCAGTTTTGTTCACAATGTATCTGTGATTTGAAAATTTAAACTCTTACATAAGTTATTAATACTAGTCATTTATGATTCCTGCTGGTAATATTAAGATACATGATCAAAAAGACCATTTATAAACAAAGATTTGTTAGATTCTGTGCTGAGTGTGAACAACGGTAAAATTCTCACTGATACTACTATTACTATTAATAATAATATTAATAATAATAATGATAATAATAATGGTGATGATGATGATACGAATGCTAATGATAATCGTATTAAATATCAAATCGATTCAGCAAGTGGCCACTTGGACATTGTCGCTTAAGAATACTGTGTTGATCCTGAAAATGTAAATAATAAGAAGCAGGCAAGTTAGAAGTCATGGTTTCAAGTAAGTGGTTAATGAGTTGGATATTTTCTCACTTTAGATTTTGGTCGGTATAAACTTATTAGACAATGTATTCTATTGTTAGGCTGAGCAACTATTGTAAGCAGAGATGGATAGTGGCTAGCAGTGGAATCCAGGACGCGCGTTTCGTCCTATTTGGGACTCGTCAGCTGGATGTACCTGCATCTCAGAGTTGATGTTCACTCTGGGACTCGAACCCAGCACCCTCGCTTCAAACGCCATCGCGTTATCCACTCGGCCACTGAGTCCTGATAGCCACTTGCTTGTGCGATGGGGTGAAGTTTGAATTCACTTAGTATTGTTTGTTTGGATCTTCCCATCGATGTTTTTAGGACTGCAACTGGTCAGTCTCTATTAATTTATTTCTACATTTAAAATTTAGTTTAATTAGAAATTTGCATATAGCGTTATTTTTCCTAGATTTGAATTCATTACAATCGCAGGTCGTCTTCAGTCTACGTGTGTATTATTCAAATATAGCATTCTAGAGGATTTATATTTCACCCTATATGCATGAATTCGGATTTATTAATCCCCCGTTCTTGAGGAACATTTATGGTGAAACTGGACGACTTACATGTTTGGATATCGTAACATTGATAAGTTATTGAAATATTTTTTAGTGTCACTAACTAACCGGACTTATGATCAAGTTATTGGATTCCTTTACTGACTTCAACTGAAGGATTATGGACATTTCTGAAACACTGAAGTGAAACTATCCACCGCAGATGTCACTTAAAAAAATAGTCATGCAATACTGTGAAGCGACTGAAGTTTGATCACTGGATACCTCATGAGTGATTTGGGGGTTTAATAAAACATGAACATTCTGAGTTTGATATCCTGCAAAGTTGTGTGAACAAAATGTTAAGGGGTCTCGAATTAGTACAAAATATCGATCCAATGCTTTCTAATGTTTAATGGATTTTCTAGTCGATATACATCCATTGCAATAACTTTATTGAATTCAGTAATAATTTTTAAATAAAACTAGACGTTTACTATTATTATTATTATTACTATCATTACGTCAGTAACATTGAACATGTATGCTAGTTTACTAAAAAGTGTAATACTTTTCAAACTCTCTCGATTTATAATCTAATTGGACTTGTGCAATTCATTTCGCTGACTAATGTCAGCAATTCATGAATATTTCTCTCATTGTGTACATTCAAATGTTTGCATAATGTATAAATGTGTGGTCAGTAAAACTAAATGAAAATCGTTTTCCATTTAGTTCAAACAAAAAAATGACAACAACTGAAAAATAAAAGTGTTTGAATAAAAATCTTTTCGAACAAAAAATGATTATAAAAGAGGTGAAATCAATTGGGACAAAAAAAAACAGAACAGAACAGACAATTGACTTTTTGATTTAAGGCGCAATTTGAATCAAAATATAATAACGGTGACAAATAAGATGAATTAAGTGCTCTGAATAAAAATAACACTACTAATAAATTAAATTAAATGATAAGTCACTAAAACATAATTCAGCAAATTAAATTTGGAAGTTTAGAAAACAAAATCTTTTTGCTCAGAGTTGATTAAAACAGTATAGGACTATTGAACATTGAGTAGTATGTATGTATAGATGTATAGCGTTCAAAGATAGAGTCTACCGCTCATTTTAAAATGCTATTAATTAGTTCTCAATTGAAAAGAGAACACTATTACAAATAAGTACTAATGAAATTTTTTTAAAGAGTTATACATCTCCAATCAAAGAAGAGAATAACGAGAATAACACATTTCAGGTTGTGTTTTGTTTTCTCAATTTGCCACTGTTAACGGTTCATTTGGAATTGTAATTAAATGTTGTTTGGAATATTGATCATTAGTTGGTGATGAAGAATTGGATGCTCTGCGATAGATTTGGTGTCCAGTATCACTCTGTTGTATTAGATAAAAGAAAGAAAAGAGAAATAAGAGTGCAATCGATCAACTGACTACTGACCATAAAACCAGAAAACTATGGTTTTCACTATAAGGTAATGGTAAGACAGAGAATCTTTACTGATTTATTTACTCAAAATTGATCTTCAGTTTATGGAGTTATATTGAAGGACGACTATTTAATCATGTTTATGTAAACGTTAATTATTCACATGAATTAATACTGTTCATTTTGAAGTGAACAATACAAAGAAACTTTAATTAATTAGTTATTTCTTAAGTGAATTGATTTTATAGTTGCCTTTATTCATTTCGGGTTTCCCTAAGTTTAATCATCTACAACCTTTATAGAGACATTAAAAACTTTAGATAGTACTTTTTGTTTGTACAAATCATCACCCAAACAATAAAGTTTTCGTACCTTCTTCAAAATCTGATGATTCTCTATGAGTATAGTATTTGATCATGGGCAATGACCGTTGAGGATTAATAAAGTGGAACATGCGTTTATACAATGCCTCATTGTGTTTCACTGATTCCCCTACTGATATCAAAGAGTAGTGAAAAATAATCTTGGGAATAATCATCACCTAAGAATTTTAGATACATTTTCACGGACATTTAGAGAAATTTTTATTTTAGTTGAAAACGTCTACATTGTTAAAGATTATAGATAAATCAAACAGTTACGTCGACAAGCCAACTTCAATATTTATTCAAAATTATTTATCGTATTTAGCAATGTAAATCGGGACTTTAAATTGAACTCATTTTAATCTATTTTTATTTTTGTGTTTGTGCAGAGGTTGTAATTTTAAATTTAAAAGAACTATCATATAAGAAAGTAAATTTTGTATTAGAATTTAATTAACTTTGTATGAGTGATTAGATTAATTCAAAACCGAAGACCTCCAAGGATGTAGGAGAGTGCATTTACATTTAAGCCCCTGGGTTGAACTCCACTGATACTTATTACTAACTTTAACGCCAAACTGAAATGAGACAAATGTACACTACCTAGACTTTCGTATGCCCTGATGGTGTTCTCGTGACTTTCAGGTTGCCTGATCTGCCAAGGCGATGAGACAGTGCATGACGGTATTGTTGTGTGCTAGGTTCAAAGAGAATTGTTTGCTATATGCATGCAAATGCGCCCCGTTATTGTTCCTAATTCAGCATGAGCGTATTGCAAATCAAGTCTGCTGGGTGATTTTATTAGAAGAAAGGGTATTCTTTACTTAAGTATGATAAATCTTTAAAAATTATGTATGAAAACAGTAAAAGTAAGGAGTGTTTTTCATTGACATAAAAGTCCACTAATTGTATTATTGTCTTGATATTTTTATTTTGGTGGCTCGGATATATTCCTCCAACAAAACGACTTGCAATTAATTACTCAATAATATTCAGTAGAAATAATGAATCAGTAAATGAATAAATACCAAAAGATAATGATAAGTATAATAAAGAAAAGTTTAAACATACCGTTTCAGAATAAACATATTTGCTTAGACCAGTATTAAGTAGACTAGCTGGGCAAGGTTCCAAATGTTTCGGTGTATACTCCATACGATATAAAGTTGCATCATCGAATGGTGTTTGATTAGCTGTAACTTGACCATGTGGTTTAAAAGATTCCGGAGGTCGATAATTTAAGTGTGGCACATAATGATCACTTGTGGTACTTTTACCTTCAAATTTTACATTCGGTATAGTATAAGTTGCTTCTCTACCTAAACCTTTGACTTGTGGTTCAATTGCCCAACACCGATAACTGTCTTTATAATCAGAAACTCCCTGATTATAATAGAAATAGTAAATAAATAAATAAAACTGTTATGTGGAATTTGAAAAATTCTCACTTTAATTTAAGAAGCAAAGCATGTATACATTTATCATAACAGGAAGATAACTTATTTCATATTTTATTCTTAATAACATTGAGACAAATATTCTTGTCACAAAATAAGAAACAACTAAACAAGAACAATTCGCATTGCCTTGCCTAAAATTAGATAAAACAGTTGTGAAAACAGTACTCAATGATTTCCAATGGTTGTTTAATTGAAACTTATCCGTGAAGTAAACAATCTTTACAAATCCTGCCTTCTACTCTCAAGCTATATTTAATCGCATGTTATGTATGCCAGATAAGAATTTATATAAAATTTGCATTTTGTTTTAAACTGACGAATTTCGATGCATTCGTGCCTTGTTCTTTTGGAGGGTAGATGAAAGGGAAAATTTGTGAGTAAACCGGACGACTTATTTATTTTGTTACAATAACAATGGATAGTTGTTTGGAATATTTTTAATGTCTCTAAACAACCATATTCATAATCAAATCAAAATCCTTTACAAGTCCTACACATCAAATTACAGTTGTTTCTCAAGAGTTCAGAGAGGGATATTTAGGTAACACCAGTCAGACAGAATATATCTTTTGTGTACTGAAGTTAGATGCAAAATTTGATTTGAAATATTAATACAACCTATGAAGACCAGGATATGTAAAGGAATAGTTACACCAAGTTAAATAATATTTAATACTTAATTTTATAAGAAAAACGGATCAGTATTATAGAAGTCATGCTGATTTCACGGGATTTTTTTCAACTGCTGAAGTCTAGAGTTTGAGAATTAAATGGACTAGTTTAATTTCAACGTTTACCAAGAGGTCAATTAAGTTGAAGCAGTCTTTGCAGGAAAAAACTGAAATGCATATGATACAATCATTCGCAAGTAAATGAACGTTATTGAACTGTGAGAAACAAAGAGGGAGAAATTTGATCTTAAGGAACTCCGATACTCATGCTTTTGATAAAAAATCAAAACAATAACTCGTATTAGTATGGAAAAAGTACTTGAAAATATTTGTTTGTGATATTCGTTGAGGATTTACACTACTCGTGGAACAGTCGAAAATCCTGCAACCCTGAGTAGGAGTTTCCATGCAGTATGGGAATTCTCAACAGATCACCCATTAAACGTCTCAACTGATCGTACTTGTGATTTTCAGGTCTATGGGTGAGGGTTTAACCTTTAAACCACTGGTCTGGAATCTAATTTTTCGTACTTCCGAATTCATTAGCTTGGTGATTATCCAGTATGACGCATGAACGCTCTTCATTTAATCTCAGTGTGGTAGTTATTGTGAACTCCTCGAAATTCATATCACAAAACAAATTTTCAGTTCTCTTTGGTTTTTGCTAGCACTCCCAACTAATGCTGATCCGTAATGATTACCACCTAGAATAATTAGGTGCTCTTCACGTAACGTCTCAACAACATAATAATGATTATTATTATTCAAAGGGAAATGATATAACTAGTATTCATTGTATATATGTTACCTGAAATGGTGGTAATTCAACGCCACGACCGATTTTATCTACTTGGTGAATTGCTTGACGATTCTGCAATCCAAATGGTATATAATCTTTGTTATAGGTTGTATCAGAACACATTTTTCCTAATGGTTCTGGATAAGTTGAGGCATGATTAGCCGAGATAGGTGCAGATCTATCGGTTAGTTCCCAAGCTTTATAATCAATTCGATTAGTTGTGTCTTTATGAAATGGTTCGTTATTTTGAATACCCGTATATTCCGGTTTACATGAGGCCGATGGTACTGATTGAAATAATGACAAAAAGAATCAACAGAAATCATGAATGAATAGTAAGACAAAATCTAATCATATACAAAAATTATAGAGTTAGTTAATATCATCAATTATATGTAAGTAACTCATTCCTATAGGTCAGATGGGAACACTATGATATGAGTTTTAGTGCTGGCGACACTAATTCGGCAAATGACTGGACAACAATCTACTTTCAGCCCGAGATTGGAACTATGGATGAAACACTTTGAAGAACAATTTAACTTATTTTAAACAACTAGCTTGTTTTCTACTGTTACTAAACAACTTGAATGAGATGTCAACGAAAAGCCCACCGAATCTTAATGAAGTCATCAAACCCATAGCCAGTACGAAGTAAGGGAGAGAAAAAGGCCTCAATGTGTTAACAACAGGAATCCTAGATTACAGTTGTGCGGTTTCGGCAGTTAACTTGACGGACATATAAGCTAGAGTCCTGGAACTGGACGTAATCTCATCTAACTGGTCGTTGTCGCTGATAATAAGAAAGGAGGAAAATCCTCTTGTGGTCCCCACACAGGAATCAGTATGACTAATACAATATCTGAAATATTAGCTTCAATAATAATAAGTAGGGCTTGCGGTGAGCAAACCTATGGAAACCACTATGCTATCAGAAATAGATATGGATATGTAGAACAAATGTTTGCCCTTCATCAGGTTCTGGAAAATAGACGGATCTAATAATTCACAGATTTACAGGCATCATAGCAGTGCCTGTTACTGAAATGATATACCAAATAAGTAAATTGACCCTATATAGGCTTTTTATTCGAAGACTACTGGTTGAGTTGGAGCTCGTAGTGAACTGTCATCGGAATCAATAACTTCAGGTAGTGTTCGTCAGGGTTGTCCGTTTGCTTCATGTTTATTTAACTTCCCCATATACATGGTCTAGATATAATGTTATCATCGTCTGATTTTTCAGGAGTCGATCTCCTACCAAGAGATTTGTTTGTCAATTTAGATGACCAGTTGACGAAGGTGTTCAAGAATTGTATCCTTCTGATCTCCTTAGGCGATAATGAAAGTATGTTTGAGATTCATTTTGCTTCCTTTAAATTCTAAGAGTTGCTTCAGAATCAGTCTGCATGAACCCCTATGGTGTCAATAGGGAGTGAAGTGCACTGGAGTTTGTTCTTTGTTACTCTAGGGCTATGAAAAATAGTAGGAGATTTGTGTAGGCTTCAGATTTCTGGTGATTGTACCTTCAAAGCATTGCTCACGTTTTATACAATGGCGATGGCGTACATAAGTTCACTTTCATTTTCCCTTGAATCTTGAGGTTTAAAACTATTATGTACTTTTACCCCCCAATTTTTTTCCATCGATTCAAATCTTTTGTGCTTAATGCCTTTTTTACTGCTACTATTACTGTTACTAATTATACTGCGCTGGTATCACTGTGCTGACGTGAGGTAGTAACTGTAATCGATCCGTAGATGTGTCAGGTTCTATGTTCCTTATGACAATGAATGTCATCAAGAAGGCACCAGTCCTCTGAAGAGTGCCACCTTGAATACAGCCCAAATGAAGTTTTTCCTGTCGGTAACCTACAGAAACTCGATATCAAAGATAATGCCCAGAAATATCTATCCAGTCAATCTAGTGGTCATACAGCGAAGGATGATTGATAGAATTTGATCGGCACCTAGTACTAGACAAACATGACATCTATCTATCTATCTATATCTATATCTATATATACTCAGTGTTGATTTAATCTAAATGAAACACAAAAGCCATATTTTTTTCAGATAAAAATAGTTCGACCACAAAATCCAAGTCGTTTTAAGTAGCCAATCACTTAAGGAAAAATATAAATTATGTCTTATAGTAAAGTATTTATATCTAATATTCATATAGCCTTTAGTGGAACAATCCTAAGTGTATAACCAACTCGGAGTTCATTTTTCTTGTTAACACTTAGCCTGCTGACAAATCATTTTACAGTAAACTACTGAACTAAAATGATCGTTTCTCATTCGATAGACATTAGTAGATACGACAGTTATGTTCAAAATTAATTTGTCAGCTCGTATTGATATATGAACATGTATTCGAACTACTTAATGAGTTAAATTATTAGTAACTTTGACTAGTTTACAGAGTTAGGTAGTTTAGTAGATACGCAATATTGTGTGTACTGTCACATTTACACACATCAAAAATTGAGTTCAACCTGTATTTTCCCTGTGTGTAAGCCAACCAGTATTCTTTAGTAAAGAATGATTCAGAAAAGAATATCTCAATACTTATAAAAACAATAATACTGTTAATAGGTGACTAAAATTTATGCTCACAAGATTATTAGTAAACAATAAATTAAGAAATATTACTTACTCGTAGTCTTCCAATAATAATCATGCATATGTGTTGATAAATGTTCCATTGGTACAGTAACCTTATGTGTATGCTCAACATTTTTAATTGGACGAGCTCGTTCTGATAAATCCAGTGTACGATATGAGTCACGATAGTCAGTACTATCTGAAAATGGTGTTTGATTTTCAAGGAAGCAATGCACCGGTTTACAACTGACTGGAGGTTTTGCACTAGAATAGTTGAGGATATATATTTATACATTTATATTATCATGGACAGGTGAAAAAGATCCCTTGTTAACAGATAAAATACTTAGATAAATTAAAAGTTTAATCGTAGGTAGCCTATAACAACTAATAAGTATTAGAAAATTCTTACTGATGAATACTTGAGCTAAACTGAACATAAAATATATGTAAGTCCACTGAAAGTATTCATGAATCAATTCTTAATAATGCTTTAACCTGTACTCATAGAAGTTGTGATCGCTTAAAAAACCTATACTAAAAGTTGAATTTTATAAATTAATCTGATTACCAACAGTTGTGTATACACAGTAAACGTGATCTCAACGACATAAAAAACATTGTAATTTTCTGGACGACAAATGAATTTGAAAACTTATGTACAACTCTTATGTTCAAAAGTGACGACCAAGTTTTATGACGGTTTTATTGGTCTGAAAGTACAACAGCATTGTCATATAAATTAGACAGTAAATTTTCCGGAATATGTATGATGCCATTCAAAGGAATCTACGATTAAATAAGCATTTCATTTAAAATAACTGAAGCCTTTGACATTTCACTGAATTTGTGAGTGTGACAGAATCATGACATTGAGGTTATGTGTGAAGCACGAGGTGAATAAGCTGAGTCCATTCATAAAATCGTGTCGTCATGAGAATCGCTAATGGCTGAATGTCACAGGTATAATCATTACCTACATAGCTACGAAGTAAGAGTAAGCTAGTCCGACCGAGATGAGATATTAATCTAAAAACTCCCGAATTAACGAGGTGAATTATAAAAAGGCGCGTACATGCGGGAGCCTTCAAACAAAGAAAATTATTGGTTACAGATTATAAGTCATGTAATGTATACTTTGTACTTTACCAAATGCTAATCAAATCAGCATTATTAGTTTCGTACTTTAGTTATGTAGTAAAGACTAAGTGACTAATTAACTAACAAACTAGTTTATTACTAGATTATTACGATTTTTGGTGGAATTCCTTATAGTTATTGATGGAGACTAACGCATTAAGAGAATTATCTTTGTTCAAGGGAATCGAGCATTTCACTGAGGGCTGTGAACGATTCAAAGAGGATGAAAGGCAAGAAATACCACCAAAGTTTTATACTCACAAAAATTTGAACATATACAGTGTCTTGAACGTTGATTCAATTTCCGAATGATTGGAAATAAATCATATTTGGGAGGAAAATCTATGGATTTGATTTTAGCAAGACATTTGATATTGATGAAATTATGTGAAATGGTGTAGGTGATAAAGAGCATGACGTCTGACAGGTTAAAAGATTGTTTTCAACAACGGAAATTGTGATAGGACAAAATTATCAGCATAGATTTTAGGGATTTCACGGATATATGATTGATTTACAAAAAGTTTTGTAAATGAAAATTTTATGACTTCAGTTCGTGCACATGTTGGACAAAGTAACATGTAATTCATCAGTTTCAACACCATCAATATCTTGAAGACAAAAAAATAAACTAATGCTAACTGAATTCTTAACTCACTTATATGCAACATAGTCAGCTGTATAAGTGGGAGTTCCAGAAAATGGTAGATTAGGTTTCTGCCAGTTCGATTCTCTACCTGTAGCGAGTTCACGTCTTTCCAGTTTCCATGGTCTATAGTCAGCTATGTAATTTGGAATGTCAAAGTAGTAAGTTAATATTTAAAATAGAAAACATAGAAAGTTGAAATGTATTTATAATTTACGTTTATCACTGAGACTGTTTAGTGTTATGAAATACTATTCAATAATGCAGAACTGAATTTTATCATATTTTATTAATACATGTGCTCTCTGAATTGGCTCTTGGATCGTATCAGTCGGAACATACGGATCTTTGTGAGTTTTAACAAACATACATGTTGAATTAGATAATGGCTATCGTGACACAATAGTCTGGAGGATGACACGAGCTTGAAGCGGTAGATTTTGGGTTCAGATCATAGCATGAACATCAACATTGGAGTACTATAACATCTATCTTTTCAGATTCATATAACAGAAAGCGTAAATACTGGTTAGCAGAAGAATGCGAGTTACGCATTTCGTCTCAGTAGGGACTCGTTAGCTGGTTAAATCCGTATCAAAGTATTGATATCGACTTAAAGTGTTGAACAGAGTATCTTTCGTTAATTATTCGTAGTGTTTCGCATGATGCGATTACATTTATTTAAGAATAAATTTCGATAAGTCTTTTTTGGGATAAATTCATACTGAAATGAAAGCAAATTTATTTGAGGAGTCCTAAATGGGCGAAACCTGTATTCTGAATTCAATTATTCAAATATACTCAAAACCAGCAACGGATAAGCTTTATCGAGATATCCGTTTAAGATGCACATATCCCGACAAATATTGATCTGAATGTAGTTTTGAATATCAATGTCGGGATAATAATTTTGTGAACAATAACAATAAAAATGTACTAATGTTCCTATTTTACTATTTATAGAAAGGCAGTTAAGAATCATGAGATCACTTGAATTTAGTAGAGCTTTCAAGAACAAACATTTAACTTCAAAATAGTTCTTATCAAAGTCAACTAACAATTTGAGATGAACTGATAATGAGTGGTAAAAAAGTAAGTAAGTGTTTTGTTCAAATTTTAGGCATTTGTATGTGCACACTATTGACATGATAGAAAATCAGACTTAAAACGTTTACACCTTGTAGCAAGCCACTGACAGACATTACTATTATACAGTCAAGTGTGTTGTAAAGAAATAACTAATGCAATAATTCGTTTCATTACCACCAGAGTTCTTAATGAGTATCATGTATCCTAACTGTATCCGAACAGTGCTACAAACTTCTTTATAACTGAAAGTGTTTATTTTGTAAGTCCAGTATAATAAACGCATAAAATACTGTCGGCCTCCTGGCTGATTTTTTAGTTCTCGATATCTTCGGCACTTGAATGACGGATCAAATCAGACAGATGAAAATGTAAAAAAAAGATTTCATTTGCAAGATTCATTGAAGGACAGAGAGTAAACAGTATTTATAAGTTTACAATTGGCTTTGTAGTTGTAGTACGTTTTAGAAAAAGTCTTCAAGTTAAAAGTAAATTTGGTATTTGAAGAATCAGATAAGCGCAAAAATGAATTGGTTTCTGAATGATTTGCTATGTATTTTCTCATTGTACTCTTAGCATATTGCATTCCCGAATAAGTAAGTTGAACAATAGTAAACAAAGTGAATATTTTTATGTTAATATGTCATGGTAACAGAGTGAAAATAAAGGTTTGTTTTCTGATAACATTTGTTTCACATCCTACTATCATTAGGAATAACTGCATAATTCGCAAAGTAAATTGAATACATTTCTGTGCATACTGTATTATATACTCCTATTTCTCTATCAAGTATCGATCAACAAAGAAGTTTATCCGTTACATTCTTCTCTGGTCTGTAATCCTTCAACCATTATATTTTAATACTGCTCGGTAAAAAATTGAACCAGGACAAATGGACGTAACATCTATGACAAGATAAAAGTGTCATTAGGTACATAGATTAAAAAGCAATAAATATATTTGATAATCACATGGGAAACATGCCATTTCTGAAAGAGTTTACGCTTGCTGATTGGTGGATATGGAACCAATCAGTTTGTAGGAATTACTCTTATTATCTCCCTATATCTGAGCTCACGATATTAATTTACTATACACCAATGCCTGCAGAGTTCATTCATGTCTCACGATGTCCTGATTACTGACAATTTTTCTGTAACGTTTGAGACACAAGACGAATGACCTATACTGTATAGGATTTAATGATGGTCATTTTAGTCTTTTGTGTTGTGACTGCACTGAGCTGTCATCCTAGTTACTTGTTTTTTTACTTTGGTTATTCATTAGACCTTCATGCAATCTTGATGTTGAATACAACACTTATTCAATCAATTAATCGATCAGTTAATCAATCAATTCAGTTATGTGAAGTACCAATGTGAAAAATTGAATTTTTTTATTTACAAATAAAGTATATTATATTTTAATGTCCTTTGCTTACCAGTATAGGTGGCTTCACCATCAAATTTAGCTGAGGAACCTTTTCTAATAGTTGGTTTAACTGGAGCAGCCAGTTGACCAGGTTTTCCTTGAGTTAATAAAAGGAATACATATATTTATTGCAATGGTTTAGTGGTAAATCAGTTAATTTAGCAACCAGTTAATCGATAAGAACACTAATCCAACAATTTCAGCTTTCCAGATATAGAAAACACTAAAATCTTTTTCTTATGCGGCCCACTATTATGAAACCGAACATTTTCTACACTCACAGTTGTCTTATATTCATAAGGTAAACCTAGTATATTCAGAAGATTTTGGTTTGATAAGGCCACATAACTGTTATATCATAAACGCCAAACTATCTGATGCACTAAATTAAAAGGTGGAAGCTGAGCTGATACTGAATGCAACAAACCGGTTGACACAGTGGTTATTATTTAATTTTCCTCTTATAAGGGGGAAGCTGTTCAATGTTTTATTCTATTGATCACATTCGTAGCACAAATACTTAATTGTAATTATGACTATAAACTTAACATTTTCGGTTACCATTCAGACAGATACCAACAACGGAAGAAACAATAACATATTCAATAGACAAGTACATAAGTCAACTTAATTTGTCTTCATTTGTGAAAACAATATTTGAACAAAAATTGAAATCCGAACAATTCTAGTTCTTCATTCCAGCATACTATATTAGACTTCTACAGGGTAGTAATCAAAATCAAAATTATCAAAGAATGTATGACGTTTAACAATCATATCAAATCTCCACTAACTCCATTTTTAATCATATTCAGAGGTATATGTATTTCAAACATTTTTTGCACAAGATACTCCATATCCGTTGGTCGGATACCGTCAACAACAACCTACTGTGACACAGAACAAACCAGCTTCCAGATGAAAGATAAGTTGGGATAAGAGGCTTAAGGTAAATAGGTGACAGTTCGTATGGATCATCAAACTGAACCACAAGGCGAGACCTAACGTGGGATCGTGAAGGGAAGAGGAAAATAGGAAGACCAAAGAACACGCTGCGTTGGGAATGAGAGACAAACATTAAAGGGATGAATAGTATGTGTAAATAGCTGGAAAGGAGAGTTCAGGAGAGAGTTGTTTAGAGAATCTTTGTCAGTGGCGTATGCTTCACGGGGTCGACATGCGTAAGTTATTAAGGAATTAAGTCCTTCTCCATTAAGAAAAACTGCGTTTCAAATATTCATATAGTTTAACCTTAAATAATCAACAGTATGAATGACTCCTTAATATATTTCTTTTATTCACTACTTTCTACTAATCGAACGCCGTGATCTTCAAAACTTGACGGAGACTGTTTTTCTAACGTGACCAGAATGTGAGTACATTAACTTGTTTTAATATATAATAGTATCATTTTTATGTTCCAAAAATTTGATGAGAATGTGCCAACAAAATAAAGTTACGTAATTCTGTAATGATTATTGTAATTTACAGCCGATATTTATCACAAATTAATCTCAGTTGGGGAACCAGTGAGAAACAAAGCGATGGAAAACTGTTTAGTACAAGCATGAGGCTTTCGGAGTGATAAAGTTATATAGCTGCTTAATTACAGTATATTCACGATCAAATTTCAGCAGGCTGCAAAGTATGGTGCTTGTATCAACAGAAGGAACAGTTTGATTAGCATATTTTTTAATAAAACCATGTTTTTTTCTTATTATGTGACACCTAGCTTATGCATAGGAACATAAAATAACGTTTATATCTGGATTCAAATTTCAGTGCGAACATCAATAGTCAAGTTCAAGAAAATCTAGATGACGAGTTCGAAGTCATACAAAATAACCGACACGTGTTTCATTGCTATTCACAGCACACTCTGTTTGGGTTCCAGTTCTGTTTCAAGTTATACATATCAGATATTTTTTGATCGACAGGTTTTAGAGCACGGCTGAATTTCAAAGTAACTTAATATCCTTCTTGGATATAAGCTTTTGATCTTCACAAATTTTTGAATGCTGTTGTTCTACATATTCCAAGTAAATCGTTTGTGTCTGTTAATGAATAGCTGCAATGCACCTATCTAATATCATATCGGTGTTAATTAAACAAAGAAACATGCTACCAAATTTTTGATGCTTTTTTGGAATAATTTATGTCAACTCACGTTCAAAGCAATATGTAGAAAGAAAGATGAGTATTTGCTGGGAAAATAGGTCAGTACACTAAATGAAGCTTCTTTTAAAATTTTGGATTCCTTTTGTGTGCTTTGTTATTTTCAATGGTTCTGTAAATATACTGATCTCATGCCTATGTATTTTGACTTAGATCATGGTCATAGGAATCTTTTTTTCTCTTACTATGACAGAAATGAATAAAATAAAACAATTGAAGCATTGAGACTGCTTATTGGAACGGATACAATGTTTCATTTCATTTTTGCCTACTTACATTTTACAAATAGATAAAATTTGTTATGGTCACAGCTTCACAATGGCGCGGAAGTATAATAGATTACTGGACGCTAATAATACCATATAGCACTTAATGGACTTAACTTTGTACCCTGATTATATTTGGAAACCATAAAGACTTTGCTTAAAAGTCTTTGATTTACATACTACCAGTAGCAATACCATGTGATGTTAAAGTATCCCCTTTGTTGTGTTGGTCAGAATGATGAGTAAAATAATTTTAGTCTAAAATTGATTGTCGTGAATGTCGTACTGGGTAATACGAATAATTGAAAACACCCTTCACTAGTAATTAGTATGCCCTATCCCTGTACAAAATGATTTTGGCTCCGATTTATTAATGGCTTTAAACTAACTCATTCTAAATAGCATCCCTTTTTGCTTATGGGTAAAAATGATAAAGTATGAACATTCTAGGCATTGTTTTACAAATATGGATATCACTGATTTACACTGCATACCAGTATATTCCTTTGTATATGTAGTTAAACCATCGAATGTTCCCTGCGGTGGTTGATATTGCGCTTCTTTTCTACAACTATTTTGAATACTCAGTGGATGCGGTACAAAATCAATACTGCAAAAGAAGAAATATACATCAAAGACTCTCAGTAAATAAATTAAATAATAACTTTTGCAAAAACCTATTTATCATCCTTGGTGGTATTATATTTTTATTATGAATGTATATTTCAACCCACTATTGTGTTAATTTGGGATAATCAGTGAATAACAAGGGGTCATCAAAATGAACAGATTTGAAACTTGTGAAACAATCATAAAAATACATTTTAATGGTGTTTTGTCTTATGAGCCAGGTGATTTAAATGGGAAGCGTTTTATGTCATTCTGAATGACAAAACCATTAGCGCATATTGTACGTAAACGCGTAGTTTTCAGCTTTTCCACAAAGCTTCATTGTGATTCATTTGTTTTTGATTGGTTCTGTTCATAGGTTTTGTTGTCGATATTTGTTTGTGTATTCAAACAGACTGTTGTTTACTGTTAACTCTGGTTATAGTTTACACCACTAATTCACTATTCTGTATAGTTTACCACAGTTAAAGTATGATGATCATTAATAGTGACTATTTAAAGTTTTCTCTTCAAGATTATATCCATTCCCACCAAACGACCCAATTATAGTTAACCAGTCATAAGAAACACTTTTAAACGAGGACTTAAATTTGATAAGTTTGGAAAACTGGTAATCTGACTGACATCTACTTACATTAAATTCAAGAAATACAATCAGACTATTATCATTTTAATCATTAGTTGGTACAAACCTTGTACACAGTATTCATGCTAACGATTTCCTCTACTTTTCAGATATTATTTATAGCTGATAGTTATCATGAATTAGTTTCAGGTGGGTAACCAGTGAAGAATAAAAAGTGATGGACAACTGTTTAGTACAAGTATGAGGCTCCTCAGGGTTGTACACACAACCCTACCAGTGATGAACCAAAGGACGCCCAAGTCTCGCGGAGAACACTTAATCGTCTGAACTACAGAGATAGTTAGTATGTAATAATATACACTCCCAACCCTAATCGAATTGTACTATAGTAAGATGATCATTCAATCCCATTGGTGACAACTGCTTCATTGTAGATATATTTGAACTCTTCTAGTCATGACTTTTCAATAAAATCTCGAAAAATCATCTCGAATCAAGTTACTGACATCAATCTGTGATGAGTACAACGTACAAATTAAAATAATTACCACAAAACTCCTTGATTTTATTTAAAAAACTAATTAATTAATGGGAGTTCACAGTCAGATATGAGTTGAACAAAGACTGATACCCATATGTTATTCAACTAATGTTATTAACCACAATATAAAAAGAATTTGTCTTGAGTTTTATTTCGAATCTCATCTTACACTAAGTTTAAGAATGAGACAACGTCATAAATTGTATCAATTTAGTAATGAACGTCAAATCTTTATCAATGCTTTCAATCAAATGCCTCTAAGTTTTACTTGACATTGAATGATTTAAAAAAGCTTTAACTAACACAGTTTCATTAGAAAAAACTTTTCTGTTAAGTTGAGCATTATTTGTAAGATAAATGAGTATTTTATTATGGTTTATTAATTTCTATTAAATTGATAAATTCGAAAACTTATGTGATCGTTTCTTCGAAACTTTTCTTTACATGCTTCATTTTTACATGAACATCGTAAATTCAGCACAAAGTACATATTAAAGGTAAATTCACCTTGAAATCATGTCATTAGGAGAATCATGGAAAATACTCTCACAGAAGATTCAAAACAGCTATTTATTCATAGTTTAAGTTCTCCATGCAGTCAGAATCAGAGATTCCAACTGCCATAATCAACGCCGAGAATGTCAAAAATGTCCATCGGATCAACTTGCCAAGTCGATATAATTACAGCAGCACTGTTAGTACATTTATAATATAATATGAAAGGGTCCATGTGGTTATCGTAACTAATGGTTAGAGACTTTAAGTGAAACGGCCAAAAGTTGTTCGTTATCGTACAGGTACACTCACTCTTTGTATACCTTTAAATCCCAAGTTTTTAAATTGGCTTATAAACCTTTTTACTGTTTCGCTAATTAATATCGTCTTCTCGAACCACACCTTGGATGTATAATTGTTTCTATCACCAGGAATACTATTACTACTCCTAATACTCCGATACTTTGCCTGACGATTTTATCTATCTGTGCTAGTTGGATGTAGCAAACTGAACCGTTGTACACATGCGCCAGGTTTTACGTCGCGTTTAACTGACTGGCAAAAAGAAGGAATAAAATGTGATGTATGAAGGAGTGACGCAACTGAAGATCTGGGTGAGAATAAGTGAATATATCTACGCCTTTGTGAGAGATTTTGAACTATTCCACGTGCACCGAATAAAGTTGTCTAAATGTATTAACATGGCCCAGTCCAACAATTGATAATTCAATAGACTGATGAGATGTCTTGGTTTAGTCTCACTTAACTTTCTTCAAGGTCATTATATTGGAAGTGGTAGTATACTATGATTGGGGATGTCTAACAAATCTCTCAGCCACTTCAGTCGATGAAAAGTCACAACTTCGTCAACATATCTCACATCTTCACTTAGTACCCTAAGCCTGACATCCAGGTCATTCATTCGGTAATTTTACAGTAAAAGGAACGATTCAAAGACAGTTATGATAGAAAACTTGCAGGAATTTCAATTCTTTTACTCTTTATAACGAATACATTGATCTTTGAAGCATTGAATACAAGTTCGGTCATCCATGTTTTTGGCTTTACTGTATTGAAAACCGTTTTCAAATTATTATTAATCGAGCACTAAATGTCAAGAACTAGTTGATTAACTGACCCATTCAATTTTTAAAGAGTTTTACAGGATTACTTTTAACTAAAATAAAGGAATTCAACAAAGGAAATTTTACTTTCGACGAAATTATTTACCTAAGCTGTGCATACAAATTAATAGTTAATCGGTAAATATATAAGTCTATAGAAAGATAGAAAAGATAGTATCATACTTACCGGTGTGTAGTATCCGACGCCATATGACCTTCAGCTTGTACACCTTTATGAGGTGGTTTACATGATTCCACTGGTATAAGCTTATGAGCGATATACTGTGTAGTATATTCAGAAATTTCACATGGTTTAGTTATCTGAGTTTTACGTTTTTGGTGTGGGCATTTATGTCGACTAAAAGAGATAAAATAAATAAATTTATAGGAATATAAAAACAGATGTGAGGGTTCTTCGTGTTGTTTAGATTTACAACAAACTAAAAAGTTCCCAGTCGCAACCCTGGATAAAGAAGAATTTGAAAATGAATTTGAAAACCTCACCGCGTCAAAATAACATTACGAAACCAAAGGCTAATCAGAAAAACATTATTTAATCCATTCAAACTTAGCTCTTGGGATTAAACACTCTTCATGTAGAATATTTATGATCACTTACCACGAAAGCCGAGATTCCTCAGAGTTCACAACTCCGATATCCCTTCTTAAATCCAGAGCGACACTTAATATGGGTTCATGGGATGTTCAGATACTATAGGAGACTGGGATGACAAGTCAAATAGCTGCTTGGAATGAATGTAACACAAGTTAGACAAAAATAATAACTTCCAAAGAGGCGTTTTTGTATTCTGGCCATACTTCAAAGGCAAAGACGTAGGCCAACCATCTTGATATGGTACTCAGACTCCAAGGTCATGGTGGACAACTCCAGTGAAAAACGACTCATGAGGAGATGTGGACTGGAAGAAAGGAACGAAGATGGTGAGAAACTGACAAATCGATGTTCTTTCAATGACATGGTTATAGGTGGAACCATTTGATACCACAAATGCCAACACGGAGCTACATCAGTTCCACGGACCGAATTACGGAGAACTAGATCAATCACATCTGCATCAATTAGAAATACAGAAGATCCATTAAAAATAGAAGAACAAAGAGGCGAGATATTATCGTTTCAAGTAACCACTTGATGGTGGCTAAACTAAAGTTCTGGATAATTAGACAGGGAACACTATATAAGTTCAATATAGTCTTCATCCAAGATGCTAGCAAACTCAGCGAATTAGAGATATCTTTCAGAAACAAGTTTCAAGTCTTACAAGACCTACTAGAAGAGGAAACCACATTGGAGAATAATCAGAAAATGATAAAAGAAGCAATTAGTTAAAAATTCCAGGAGGTTCTAGGGCGCGAGAGACGCCTACTCGAAAAGTGGATGCCCATCGATACTCTGGGCAAGATCTAAGAAGAAAAAAAGGGAAAACGGTCAACAACGGCTGAAAAATAGCATAAAGCTAGGGCATAGACCGAATATACAGGAGATAAGCGAGTAAAAAATAACGTTGAAGCTGACAATCAGAACTATATATGTTATCACCAGGGGATATAACAATATAAAAGACCTGTCAAGGAAAGCAGGAAGATCTGCCGGATGAGTCATTATGAAAAATTCAAGAAGCATGCAGTGAAATATATTAAGCTTGAGCGAACAGTCAGAAGAAAAGGCAAACCAACCACTGATGTCTTATAGAAGTGAAACAAGTAATTACGGCACTTCGAAGAGTCACTGAACCCACCGGAATCGAAGCAGCACACCTCCCAATAGATGTGACTTAACCGGCAATGAAAAAATTAGCAAACCCGTCAGACTGGTTAAAAATAGTGATGCAGTTGATGAACTGAAGTCAGATATAAAGGTTAATTCATAGATGTTTCATGTCCTCTTGAGAAATAATGCGGAGAAAGAACGAGCTGAGAAAGACTGGAAAGAAGGATACGTGATCGAAGTATCAAAGTAAGGAGGTCTCAGCTAGTATGAAAACTACATAGCCATCTCACTACTGTCAATACCAGGAACAAGATCGTGAAATACAACACAGCTAGCAACAACCAGATCACATCGGATGTGTAGCTCTGAGAAAGGTGGAAGCCTTTACATACACAGGCAGTAGCGCTGATAAACAAGGAGGACCTGACGCAAGTGTAAAGGCATAGATTGGCAAAGTAGGGACAGCATTCCTAGAATTAAAGAATATCCGGAACTCAATACAACTGTCACTCAAAATAAAATACTCAGAATTTTCAATACAAACGTCAACGTTGTTGATTCTATTCTACGGAGTTGAATCATATAGATCTATTACAATCATCAAGAGAAAGATACACGTATTTCAAACAGTTTTCTGCACATTATACTCCATATCCGTTGACCGGATACCATCAGCAACAACCTACTGTGACAGAGAACAAACCAGCTTCTAGATGAAGAAGAAATTAGGATAAGACGCCTAAGTTGAATAGGCAACAGTTTATGGGGATCATCAAACTGAACCACAAGGCAAGACTTGAAGTGGAATCGTGAAGTGAAGAGGAAAATAGGAAGACCAAATAACACGCTGATCTGGGAATCAGAGGCAGACATTAAAGGAATGAATAGTATCTGTAAATAGATGGAAAGGAGAGTTCAGGAGAGAGTTGTTTGGAGAATCCTTGTCAGTGGCCTATGCTGCAGGAGTGGTAACATACGCATATATATATATAGTTATAATGGTCTGAAAACAATAATTTAATGTTGTTATGATAATGGGATAGAACATTCCATTCGCCGAAATAAAATATTCAATTTACCAGTTATTTCGAATAGCAAGTACACATAGAATTAAGGAAATAAAAGTTACCGAATGTGAACAATATAAGTGATATTTATTAATTTAAATATTTGAGATTATGAACCAATTGAAGCTAGATCACCATGGAAAACCTAGAAGCACTGGACATCCGTTTCGTCATATTGTGGGACTCCTCAGCAGTGCGCACGCACAATCCTTTCTGGCGGGATTCGAACCCAGGTTTTCCATGATGGTCTAGCTTCAATTGACTCATGATCTCAACTATCGAAATTAATATAATATCCACAAAAATCATTCTAATATTTATTAGTAGATGAAACAGAAACATGACTTGGAGAAAGGTTTTATGAATTGAATATTTCATTGTTGGAAAAACAACATCAAATATTGCTAAGGTATATTAGTGTATTTTTAAGATTGGTCTATAATTCTGATTCATTGTGTTTGACCGTTCAACTTAACAAACTTTAATGAAGCCAAAACCGAAAATCAACGAGAAAAAAAAGGCAAAGAACTAGTTTTATTTTTTTAAAAATAAAAATGCATTTTTTAGAAAATATAATAGTCATTGTTTAAATCCAAAACTCTAGTCAAAATTTATATTAAAGTGCTTTTAATAGTACATTAATTAGTTGATAGATATTTCCTACTGTTATTCACTTGTTATTATTTACTATTAAGGACAGTTTATGTTTAAGGACAATTGGAAAAAAAAGAAAAGAAAATTGTATTTCAGGAAAGTTTTTTTTTCATTTTTAAAAAAAAGTCTATTTCAAAGTAAACAATCTTATTACTTGCAAGTAGATAGTCAATTACAAAGTACTTCATACGTACAGTGATATTTGTGACTTGTTTTTCTTCAAAGTTAGTCAATAAATTAATTATGTGTTGATGTAATTATAATTAAAAAAAAGGGAACTTCTATTGATGATTGTCAGTATCAAATATAAAAAATGGACAATACTGTTTTCGATTAGATCCTCATCAGGCTTTACTCTAATATACATGAATATTTATATGCATATACGAAATTATTAAACCAATCAAGGCAGTCAATGATAATAGTGGAATAGATTACGTAATCAAAATTAATAATAAATGAAAAGTACAAATTGATAGTGTAATGTGACAGGTGTACTAGTTGTGATATGAATAATAAAAAGCTTGAATCAATGTTACATAATAGGAAAATAGGTCAATGATTAGAAAAATATAGACACTGAAATAAGCTATATTGGGCGCGCTACCAGACAACTGAACCAAAGAGTTAGTGAATACCTCCCTTCGTGCTTAGGAAAAGGTATGGTCAAGTCGATACGGAGCTCGATTCTTTCACACTTGATCGATAGCGCTCATGAAATTGACAGAAATCAGTCTTTTAAAGTTATTTATCGTATTCCTACTAGTTTTCCTTATGGGGTTCGATCTCGTCTCTTACACATAGCAGAACCTATAGGAATTCGATCCAACAACCAAAGTCTTTATGTTCATAAGAAATTAGTAACACCCTTATTTCTCCCTTGGCCTTAATAAATAATTTTATTTTCAATACTCTTTCTTCGTTTATTTTTCTTCACCCCCGCCTACCAATTATTTACTTATTATTTTTTTTTATATTCGCTTCACAGTCCAATTATCTAAACACTCCTTATTACGTAATTACATAATTTCTATATAATGTCTATATTTTTCTGATCATTGACCTATTTCCCATTATGCAACATTAATTCAAGCCTTTTATTATTCTTATCACAACTAGTACACCTGTCATTACACTATCAATTTGTACTTTTCACTTATTATTAATTTTGATTATGTAATCTATTCCACTGTTATCATTGACTCATAAACTGCCTTGATTGGTTTAATAATTTCGTATATGCATATAAATATTACTGTATATTAGAGTTAAGCCTGATGAGGATCTAATCTAAAACAATATTGTTCACTTATATATGCTGTTCTAAAAAAATGGACAAGATTATTAAAGTTATGTACACATAACATATAGTCTATATTAATAAGTAATATATATTGGTAATATCCCAATGAGTAGAAAATTTAGATTTTCTGATGTTTCGTAACTTAGTGTAAGCCACTTCTTCAGAAAATAAATAATCAAATTAAAATTAATCCAAGTTTAAATAGTACAACGGTTATTTATTTTCTGAAGAAGTGGCTTATACTGAATTACGAAACGTCAGAAAATCTCATTTTTTTCTACTCATTGGGTTATTACAAATATATTATTTATTTAAAACAATCTACTAAATGCTCAATTTATTCAAAATTATCAAATCAAAACTTGGTAATGATATCTAAAAAATAGTCTATCTGTCATAATAATAATAATATCTAAACTAGAAGATAGATACGCTTTCTAATATTTTTTGACTTGATGAAGTCAATCTTTTCAGAGAAGAAATGAACCTTCATTTTTTAAGGTATCATTAACAAGGCTTGACTTGATAATTTCGATTATGATGCCTTTCTATGTTGGACACTCATCTCGTGAAATCTTGACTCGAGCCAAAGACTATATTAG